CACATCAATATGCAATTTCACAAATTCATTACAAGTCACAAATAACATCATCAACTCAACACACTTCTCAACACATAGCTAAATACAATCCACCTTTTCCCAACCTACTGCGGCGGGACAGCGGGCACCCAATCCATAACACTTTTCACCTTTCACCGGCTACTATACGGCGGGAAATGAACTCCCAAAAAAACATTTTCTCAAAAGCCATTTTTTTTTTCCAAAAATCATATTTTTCCAAAAACCATTTTTTTCAACTTTTTAAAACCATTCCCCACATTTGCCGGCTACTATACAGTGGAATGTGGGCACCCAAAATATTTTCGAAAACCAACCGTTTTTCCACTTTTGCTGGCTACAATGCGACAGGACTGTGTGGACACTCAAAAATCATTTTTCCACTTTCACCGGCTACTATACAGCAGGACTGTGTCGACACGCAAAAACATTTTACCACATTCGTCCAGTGATAAGCCTAGACAGGGCAATTAGGCACCTTTAATCCAAAACCACCCCCACATTTTCCGGCTACTATACGGCGGGACGTGGGCCCCCAAAAGCCTTTTTCTTCAATTTTTAAAACCATCCCCCACATTTACCGGCTATTATACGGACGGTCGTGGGCACCGAAAAACCATTTTTCAACTCCCCGCGCGGGTACCAACACAACACCACCCAACACAACTCAACTCACTCAACACAACCCAACATAACTCAACTCACACTCAACACAACCCAACCCAACACAACACAACTCAAACTCAACACAACCCAACACAACCCAACTCAACACAACTCACCATGATTCAACACAATTCAACATAGCCAACACACTTCAACATAATCACCACAATTCAACATAATCAACACTATTCAACATGATTCAACTCAACACCACTAAATGAAATTCAACATAATTCAAGGTGAACTCTTAAATTTCCATTTCATCCCAAGGCTCATGTCATCTATATCATTAACAAATCTTTTCCCCCAAATTTCATTTCATATTATAGCATGATTTACAATGTCCATAATAAAGGTTCAATCGCTAATTTTTAACATAATTTTCAAACATTTATTAAACTTGTATATATACAATTCAATACCTTAATTTCATGATTCTACTTTCAATTTGGGCAAAATCATTAATTATCATCATGAATCAATTTAGGGTTTTCAAGAAAAATTAAGATTTTCAAGAAAAAACTCAAACTTCTGAAGGTTCATAATCCATAATCTTAACCCAACAATTGAACCCCAACACTTCAAACCCTAAACCCCCAAATTCCATGACATAACACTGTATGCTCAAAATTGTAGATTTTGCATTTATATAATCAAAATACCACAAATCTATCTATTAATGCAAGTATTGAAGGAGAACTAGAACCCCTACCTCGAGAATCAAGCAAAAGAGCAAAGCTCCAAGAAGAATCCTTTGCCAATCCGAAATCCAATCGGTTGAAAAGTGAGATTTTCAAGCCTTCTTCACTTCTTGGTGAGAGATCTTGGCCAAAACTTAGAGGAATGGAAGATATTTGGAGTAAAAAACCTAGGGTTTTCGGACCTAGGGTGAGAGGAAGGAGGAAGGAAATGGAAAATGCAAAGAATGATCTAGAAATGTGCCTTTAAACTTACTGAATTCGCGCAGTCTGCTCGAGCGTCTCTTTTTCCGCTCGAGCGTAACTACTTCCAGCACAAATTCCAAAACTTCAAACGGGCATAACTCTCTCATTCGGACTCTGTTCTAGGTCATTCTTGTGTCCAAATTGAAGCCCCGGAAGTAAGATTTCCAATGGTTCTAGCCTCACATCCAAATTCAAAGTCTAGAAAAATAAATGGGCAAAAAAGTGACGGCTGTTCATAGGAAAAATTATCCGAATTAAATTCTTGGTTCACTCTTACTTTACCATTATGTTGCCACTTCAATCAATACCCCAAAATAAAATAAGGAGGTTCCAAATACACTAATAAAAATGTCAAGGGCAATCTCACTTTCCACGCTCGAGCGTCGCTTTCCACGCTCGAGCGCGCAGACCAACAAAGTCGTCTGCTCAAGCGACCACTCCTACGCTCGAGTGGGAATTCACAAATCTCAGAATTTCGAACCTTCTGCAAAAATACTGAGAACCTCTCAAGTCCGTTCGAGCCTCAACTCCCCTGCTCGAGCGGAGGAAAAAAAATTCGGATCGTTACAAAATGTGTCACAATTGAAAAGTTAGGGACCAAAGTGACACAATGCCCTAACTATAGGGATTATTAGTGTAATTCGCCCTTTTTTTTTGTGTAAGTAATCGTCATATAGATGTGTATTTATGTGTGTTTGTGAAACAGAAGTGAGACTACAAGATGGAGATTTTTGCTACAACCATTCATTTATTTTTCAAACTTGGACTATTGTTTTTTTTTTTTTGGGCTGTTTATGTATTGTTAGACAAAATATGAATTCAATCATGTGTTTCATTGAGATCTGAGAGGAGATAATAACTAAAGGATTTAAGTTGGATCAAAATTGATTGAACTTATTATGATCTGTGAAATCAGTCAAAATGTAGGTCTAATATATAAATTTTCAAAACTGAAACAAGGAAAATGTATTCAAATTAATGGCAAATCTTGCCAAATATTGATAGATGGATATGAGTTCAAATTTCAGTATATTAAAAATAGGTTCTCTTTTACATCCAGATACTTGGTTGGACTTGGATTGGTTATTCCAAAGCCCCTTTGCAGGTTTTGGTATGCTATTGATTCATAGATGGATAGATGTATGCATGAAACAAGAGGTGGTGATCTTCCCTTTTACATCTCACTAGATATTTGATTGTGATCCCTTTCAGAATATTTATTACTACATCCATTAAACCACTAACTAATGTAGATATGTAACCATAAATCAAAAGTCCACAAGTCATTCAACTTTCTTTTTTTTTTTTATATATTTTTTTTAGTACATCAAACCATTTGGTCCTAGTGAGTTTTTGGATTTGTAGCCTTTCAGTTATTTAAGAATTCAATGACTTAGCCATCGGTGCAGTTGAGCATTAAGAACTTGATAATTCCTCAATCTGTCTACCTGAACTGAGCTTCATGTTACATGAAGGTATAGCTTGGAAGTGATTATGTTTTAAAGGTACAGTTATGCTAGTCCAATTATGAATTGAGATCAAGATGCATGAGTATAGCTATTTTAAAATTGAACTTCGGGATGACTTGATGAGCAATGAGCAACTATTCTTTGAAATTTAGGATAAATGAACCGTTTCCCCCTTTTTTTCTTTCAATGTTGAACACAACTTTGGTCTCTCTATTTGTTATTGAACTTAAAAGTGCCACTATATGGTTGTGATTGTTATATGCTTATGCTCTTTTGGTATCTCTGTTAGAGTTTGAATCAGTAAACCATGTGTTAATATGCTTTGCCCTTGTGTTTGGAGGGTGTGGTCTGAACATGTCTATTGATCATTGCTTGGGTGTATTTTTATTTGTTTCCTTATCGTGTATCCATGATTGGGGGCTGTTAGGATGACGTGAGAGCAACAAGGTGCCAAATAATAATATTCCTGAAAAAGTGTAACAAATCCCACTGCGGGAAATAATTAATGTTCCTCTTGAATACATATTGATATTCTACAAATAATGTTGCCTTATATTGGATTAACTTAAATAAATTAAAGAATGATGCCAAATTCTATAAAGTCTAAATGTTGTTAATCAAGAAACCATCTGCAATGCATCTTTACTATAAAGTATAATTTTCAAATACTTATAGTCAAATGAAACAAACAAAGGCATCAATTAGCACTCCAAGCTTAAATAGGTCACAAGAAACATCTCCTTTTAAACTGTGGTGTTTCTTGATACACAACCTTTTTTCTGGCTAATAACTTATGATGTTTCTAGCTAAAATGAAGAAATATGGTGGCAGGTGTGAGCAAGAAGATATCAGTAGCATCAGCTAGGGCTCACACTAGAATACCAAAGCAGAGCACTCTTTTTCAACTTCCTTCAGGGGGTTTTCTTCATTTTAATATCTTCTATAATTTGGTCTACATATAGTATCTATGTATGGATCAATTCAAATATACAATGAAATATGACCAATGGTCTTGGTTGTTCTGTAACAATTATGTATATGCCTATAGGTAGTAAACATTAATGCTTAGATGTTGTTTTGATGTATTAGATAAGGCAAAGATGAGCACTTTGGAAATCAATTTTCAGTAATTCATGGGGAAATTGTGATTTTTCCTTTTGGTTTAATCTGAAATTGGCACTTTGAACAAATGAGTAAGGGCTTCAAACTTATGTGCACTCACTAATCACTATGCTTGTGGACTTGAATAAGGTTTTTCACAAACTTTTTAGTTCTCAAATATTTTCTTTTGACAAAACTAGTAACATATATATTTTTCTTAAAGTTCCTTGCTACTGTGATATCAACCATAATTCTAAGTATTCTTCTTTTTTCTCAAATTTCATTCTTGATGGAGATTTAAAATATTTGCATTTGTAATGGTTGTTACAAGTGCTTTCTCTATTTTTGTCCTGTGTTTGTTGTTTCCTGACTAGCTTTCTTTATTTAATTCACTGTTTAATAAATTATCTTTTTTCACTTCGGCTTGGTTTTAGAGAAAGTCTAACAGCTCCATCGGTTGTTTCCTTGAAATCAACATTTGTCTTTGGAGGGACATTCATCATAATCTCATCTTCTTTGTTATGGCTTCTAGTAACCGGTAGTTTCATGATTTGTTTTCTGATCTCTTTTTATTTAATTTCTAGGTGTACATTAAAATGTTGATTTTCCCCCCCATTGTTGAACTATTGATCACATAATTGAACTATTGATCATGTCTTTTTTTTTTTTCTTAATTCATTCTCATTGGTTATCACAAAGAAAGTGAATTCATGGTAGCTCGTATTTATTGGATTTCATTGTGCTAATTAGATTTTGTAAGCCATGGCGTTATACTTATGGAATATACTTTTCTTATGAACAGGTACCTGAGGATCCAAGCGATTATTTGAACGTACGTATAAGTTAGCTTTTGATGTGGTACAGATTAATTTTGATGCGGTACAGATTACCTTTTGACATGGTATAGATTACTTTTTTGGCATGGTATAGATTACCTTTTGGTATGGTACAAATTAGTTTTTGGTGGTACAGATTAACTTTTGGATATTAATTTTGTTTAATCCTTTGTTATGTATGGAATTGTATTTTTGAGGTTGGATTGTACTTGGTTTATATGGAATTTCTATTGCATTTTTAATTTGATGTTAACTATGAATTTTTTTGATGGTTGAAAATGAAATGTGTGCATGTTGTGGAATGGTTGCTAATTTCATCAGTATATGGATTATTTTATTTATATACAAGGTACAGGTTCCATTAATAATGAAATAAATATAGATGGTCGAGAAATTAATTATAAAAAAAAATTATAAAGTTTTTGGTAACTGACTATTTTGGTAGCCAAAATTCAAGCAAAGGTTTTTCATGACTAAATATTTAGTAGTAAAAATGAAACAAGACTTTTGGCAACCAAATAGTTAGTAGTTAAAATAAATTAAGATGAGGAAGGAAACTATTGCCGACTAAATATTTTAGCCACGAAAGAACATGGCATCCATCGGTTACTAAAATGCTTGGTTGTAAAATACCATGAAATGAAAATATCTAATCTTTTGGCAACTAAAATGTTTAGTCGTGAAAACTAACAACGGCTAAACTATTTGGTCGCAAAATGTATTATTATTAGTGACTAAAATTTTTAGTTGGTAAATGTATTATTATTAGAAACTAAAATGTTTTAGCGACTAAATATTTTAGTCGCTAAAAGAGAATTTCATTTTGATTTAATTACTTTTGGCAATTAAATATTTCATAGCCAAAATGTTATTTTTGGTGACTAAGTTCGTTTTAGTAGCCGAAGATAAGATAATTAGTGACCAACGTCAATTTAGTCGCCATTGACTATTGCTGACAAGGCTTTGGCGATCAACAGGGCGACAAAGAACTTTAGTTGCCATGGCGATAGGGTGAAGGTGGATGTGGTGGTAGGGTGGTAGCAATGGCGGTGGTGGTGTGAGGAGTGACTATGGTAGTGGTAGAGTAGTGATGTGATAGTAGTAGAGTTCAAATGGTGATGGGGCATGACAACTGTTGTAACAGTGGTGACGGTGGTGGTGAAATCGGTGGTGTTGGTGTAAGAGGTGGGGTACCCTTTATCCAATCCATTTGTTTCATTAAATTTTAAGTTTGTAAGATAAAAGTCATTTAAATTATGATGAATTTCTCACATAAAATCACGTAATTACTTAATGCTAATTTAATTTATAAATATTTATACACAAGGATCAATATACACCATTATAACCTCACAATCGCTACAATTATCATCAATATTGTTGCTACCATCATCATCATCACTGTCATTGCCACCACCACCACCACCACCACCACCACCATTATCAAGCCACCATTGCTATTACCACCATCTTCATTATCATTGTTATCGTCGCCATAAAACATACCATCATTTTACTACCAACATCACAGTTTCTATTATCATTTTCGCCACCTCTCCACCACCGCCTCTACTACTACAATCATTCACCTTCATAATCATTACCACCATTACCAATGATTTTTTTTTTTAAATTTTGGGCTCTCAAAAATCCAAACTACAAGTATGTTATTTTATTAGTTGGGCACATGAACACGTGATATTCCTGATCTATTAGATAATTTATGCAAACGGTAGCAATTTTTAATTAATTTGTTTTCTAATTAATTCTAAAATATTGAATTACCAAAATTTTAATATTTTTTAATCAAAACATGATAGCAATAATTATTTCATTGTCTTCAACTAGTGAAATTTCATTCTCTTCAAATAGTGAAGTTTAGCCTTAATGTTTAGGTGAAATTTAACTATTAGCAAAGTGAAATTTCTAGTAAAGGAGTAAAAATTATAAAATTAAATGCCAAAGACGGATAAATGAGTAAATGTTTAGGTGAAATTTAACAATTAACATCATAAGCACATCTAATTTGACATTTCACTTTACACGTAGTTTATCTATCTAATCTAATTAGATATGTGGCATGATTAATGATTTGAATATCATCAAATTGGCCCTTCCATCTAATGGCGACGTAGAGCAACCATGTCAACACCATTATTCTCGCAACCTATAGTTTATGTGTTAGTATATTTATTGAAGGGTTTAATTGTATCATTTTCTAGAGGAGTAAATTGATATTTCATGATAGCTTTAGGGAGGCCAAATAATACAAGGCGTGTGGTACATTTTCGTAGAATTGCAGAAGAATCATGAGTTGAATGAGAGAAAAGTATGCTTTGAACCTTTTGACAATTGCCTCTACAAATTTTAAGTTTTCCATCGATAGAATAGAGAGAGACAGAGAGACATAAAGAGAAAGGTAAAAAAATATATAAATAAAGGCTCGTGATGGATCTAGATTACGGATAAGATAATGGGTCTGCCTTGGGATGCATAGAGTTTTCTTGCTTCATCATGTCCACAATCTTGGCAGTAAATTGCATCATTTCTGCCTAAAACGGAAGTACAATGAGCATATTTAGGCCATCAATTTAAAATTTAATAGCAGGACAAAGTGAGAGGGAATACTATGAATGGCTCATTATCAGTTCGAAACTTAATTCCAGGTATGAAATGTAACCAAAGAGGAAACCCACTCTTCAAAAACAAAGTCTATAAGGCAAGTTCACTGATAAATTGTTGGTTTGTATACTCTACAATAGATTGGAACAAAATTTTATAAGCTTTACTAATAGTTCCATTTAGCACAAACATGAGGACCAATACTTAGATGAGCATCTAAACCAGCTTCAGCAACCAATTTAATAAATTTAATGAATTGATGATTCAAGAAGGATCCTAATAGAGTATCGCAGCTTATCTGTAATGGATACAGGGGCAACAAAGAAATGTTTGGCAAGTCATTTGTGCAATAAAATGAAGCCCTCACAACCCAGAAACTGTGAGAAGGCTGCCTAAAAAAGTATATTTAATTAAAAATTTCATTGTTCTATATAAATCTTAGGACTTATTATATAAATATATTCAATTTTGGTTGGGAATCCAAAAACAAGACTGAAAATGGTTCAAAATTATACATAAAACTACAATGACATGGGGAAAGAAGAAATCATTTCAAATAATCTATAAAATCTTAAGCAACATGGCAAGTTGGCAACTTGCTTTAGAATAAAAGGGAACTTACTTCTCCTTACTTTTCTCTTCTTTTTTTCTTTTTTTTTTCTTTTCTTCTTCTTCTTTTTCTTCTTCTCAAAATGGCCCAATTATGGAGATATGCTTCAAGAGAACTTGAAAATAGAGTTAAAATTTGTTAAAGATAGGATATTTTTGCAATTATAAAAAATGCTTCAGGTTCTTTTTGACCATTACCAAAATACTTTATCAAGTTCTTATTTGCAAAAGAGCCAATGAAAGTGGTGGGCAAAATAGTATATAAGAAAGGGCACCATGTTACAAACTGATGGGAAAATGTGAAATAATTACAATTACACAGAAGGGGTTATAGAACTCTAATAACTATATAGCATATTAATTAGGATACAGGTTAGAGTGTAAATCCTTTCGAAATTAGGCCAAATTCCTACACTAAGAAATCAAGATAGATATAGAGGTCAACCAAAGAAAAAAATGAATTAATAGTAACCACAACTGTAGCCTCATGTGCAATCATTGTATTAGTTACAACAATACAATTCTCCAAAAATCAGTGGAATTTACCAAAATAGATAATGCAAAACCACATCCCACACAATGTGAATAGGTAGGTGAAATGTGATATCAAACTGAACTATATATAATCCAAGTTTCTATAGAACTTTAAGTCAATGGCTGAACAAGCATTGACTCCAATTGTACTAAATCAATACATTCGAAACAAAATTGTATCGCATGGAACAATACAATTCTCCAAAAATCAGTGGAATTTACCAAAATAGATAATGCAAAACCACATCCCACACAATGTGAATAGGTAGGTGAAATGTGATATCAAACTGAACTATATATAATCCAAGTTTCTATAGAACTTTAAGTCAATGGCTGAACAAGCATCGACTCCAATTGTACTAAATCAATACATTCGGAACAAAATTGTATCGTATGGATTCAAATTCCAGAAATCAACCTACCATGAATTGGATCTCTTGGCCAAAAAAAAAAAAAAAAAGTGACTTAGTCATGAAGCAATGAAGAACACTGGGGGGAAAAATGGTAAAAGCTTATTGATTAAATTGAGAGAAATTACCTGGTTTGAGTGGGCGTGACCTGAAAAATGGAATTGTCAAAACGAGTACTAGACTTCATGGTTGAAGAAATACCAATCAGATAAGTTTGAGTTCTTCAACACTAGTACTTGATCTCGCAAATCTGAAAAATCACAGAATGAGCATTGCTATGAAAATTTGTCTACATTTGGTCAAGAATAGGAAGTCTTGCAATATAAACTTAGAGCAAACATCAAAGGTATTTAAAATATGAACAATGCTAAAATGCTAAAATTCATCAAAATGTTCATGTAGAAAGAGGAATTGATAATGCTCATAACTATAGCACATGGAGAATAACAAAATAGCACGCATGTTATTGAAAATAAACAAAAGCCTGAACTACATTAAACTCAAGGAGTAACTTCCATCAAGAGCTATGGCATACATTGGCCTTGTTTGGTTTGTGTTTTGAGATGTTATTTCAAATAATTTTCAGGAGAGTTTAGAAACTTTGAAGAAAAAAAAAAAGTGATGATTGATGTGTCGTAGAGAGAAAAGTGATTTTAGAATTTTTTTTTAAAAAATTCAACCAAACATGTTTTTGGAATTTTTTCTCCAAAATCATGTTTTGAGATTCAAACCAAACATGCCCATTCAATTCAAGTTCATTTTGAGTATTCTATAAATCTATTGAGTTTTTGGAGTACTTATAAAAATCTAACAGTTCATGCTTCGGTCGAGCATCATTATCCATTCATGGCAAACACACTTTTTTTTTTTCTTTCTGATTTGCAAAAATTAGAGATATGTCAATTAGCTTACATGCAAAAGATGGGCTTTCATTAAGCAATAAATTTGCTAAAGTAATAGAGTGAATTAAGGAAATCCAAATATATATATATCATCATCATCATCTAAAACCCAGCCATATGAGAATCATCATCTAATATTGTATCAAAAAATTTATGAGGAAGCAAT